TTTACTCTGGATGCCAGGTTAATCGGGAGTATCTGTTAATTAGACAGTAGACCATTTTCCCGGAGAGGGCTTTGACCAGGTATTCCTTGGTTCGCAACCAGTTATAAGTAGCCCTCCTACCGTCGACCATCGAAGCCACCACAGAAACTCGGTAAATATTTCGCTCAGAAATTACTTACTCAATCTCAGATCATCTTCTTGGGTATTTGCTTTCATTGAGCGGATGGGACTAGAGAAGGCAACTTGTGGGGCTGTTGACTGATCACATCTCGTGTAGTAAACACCTGACTGTGATAGGCATACATGACAACCCCATTTACCCTTCCTGCCTTGAAGAGGATGTGACGGCGGAACACTTTTTGTGCTTGAGGATCCGCCTTTGCAATGATTAGGTATAAGGCTTTTGTCAACGGTGAGTTGAAAACGAATACCTTAGCTCCTTAAAACCCACAATCTACTCAGATTTATTTTCACAAATCGCTTAGATTTAAACAGATTAAAAGGGAACACGAAAATAATACAATGGACGGCAGTGCAGTCTGAGTGCTGAGTTTTCTGCACGCGTTCTTTAGTGTTAGTTCTAATCAAAAAAAAAAAAAAAATGTCTAGATAAACAAACCGATCAATATTTGTGTCTACAACCTGAACCCGCTCCATTCGCCGAAAACCAGCCAAATACAATCACCGAAACTCCACAAAGCCTCACCGTTGGAATAATGGGTTTCGCTTGTATTTCTTCTTTTTTTTATTTAAAAACAACATTTGATACTAAGAGTAACTATTTACTTAAAAAAATAAATTGAGAAAAAAAAAAAAATCCTAAAGCTACTCTATGAGCTTCCACTGATATATGCAAATATGTACATACAGTAAGCGTGTATCTACAGTAACGGCAGCCGCTTGCCCACCTTCTTAATTTAAAAATATTAATTAACTCTTTGAAGAAATATTTCAACACAAACAAAGGCAAAACTGCAAAAAAATATAATTGTACAATAAGGGCAATAAATAGCAAACATTTAGATCTTAACATATACTAACCTATAAACGCAAAAAAGCAAGTTATGCAGAAAAAATATGAATACTAATGTTTTATTTAAATTGTAGCAAATGCACATAAAGACAAACATTTGCAAAGTAATAAAAAATTTATGAAGACGTTTATAAAATGTAGCGCTGCCACCAAGCAAACTGAAGTCAAGTGTAGCCAGCAGTGTTGCCAATTTAGCCATTTTCCGGTTAGATTTAGCCGGTTGCGATAGCAAACAGTCGGAGAAAATTCGATTTAGCCGGCATCCGATTTATTAGCTGCTTTGCAAAAAAAATAGTCGTTTTTAACCGATTTTGCTATAGGCCTTACTTTCTTAAAATTCAAATGTATAAGTTCCCATTTTTACAAATTTACCATCTCAAAATCTAATAAGAATGGTTATCCTTATCTCGGAAAAAATTTGTATGTCGGACTGTGCTATATAAAATTGAAAGACAGTTTTTCCTAATCCGAAATTTCATCAACATTTTTTACTTTTAATCAGCATATTTAAATATTCAAAGTTTTAGTATAATAAAGTACAATTTTAAAGTACCTAGCACTTGCCGTTGAGTTTTTTTTTTTTTTTTAATTCATTCATTCGTTCATTAATATTTTTATATGAAAAAAAAGCGGAACACCATCAAATTTGCACGATATTATACTAAAATTTAATGTACTATAAAACTGCATACTATAATTTTACTAAAGATGCTGATTAAAAAGTTACATATTTTGGTGAAATTTTGCAGAATTTTCATAATTTTTGCACAGGGTCTGAAGTTTGGATTTATATGTTGTTTGCTAAGTAATCAGCTATATTTTCATAATAAAAAATAAACATTAAATACACTAAGAAAAATAGCCAAAACTTGCAAAAATTTCACGTCTCTCTTTATATTTCGATCACTGTGAAGAAAGGGGATTTTCTTCATAAAATTTTTGTTATATCCCTGCAAAAAATGGGACTAATCCGGGATGACTCCGGGAGCAACCGCAAAGGAACATGCGACTAATACCTCTTTTGATCTCTTTATATGGAATGAACTGTTCGCTTTTGTTCGAGCATGTCCTATGAAGAGACTAATTGTTCACATTTATACCCGAACGGGTATAAAAAGCGAGTAGTCACTTTTAAAAAAATAAAAATAAAAATTTGCGCCAGCTGAGATTCGAACCGGGGTGCTCAGTTTTGTTATGCGAATACTCTCTCTGTGTGCCAACGCCGCACATGAAATTTCATTGACAAAGTGCGTACATATCATTAAATCGTTAATAGTACCCGTTAGAGATGAGTTGGGGACTAATTGATCTCCAATTATACCTATAAGGGATGAGTCGAGACTAATTGACCTCCATTAGTACCCGTATGAGACTAGTTGCGACTAATTAATGCCCAATTGTACCCGATTGAGAGTACACAGAGAAAATGATACAGGTAAAACGCAAGTTTTTAAAAGAATTTGTAAAATAAAAGTTTTTGAAATAATTTTACTTCATACAAAATAAAAAATACAGTATTTGTATTTACGACTTTAAAACGAAACATTCGCAAAACAAAAACGATCGTTATAATATATTTACTTTTTTACTGAGGAGAACAGACGAAATTAAAGAAATAACGGAAAAAATGCATGTTTTCAAAACTAAAATGAAACATTTGAGGATTTTCTCCCAACAAATTGTAGTGCGACACAATTTTCAACAAGTAAAATAAAACTATACACTTTTAAAATAAAAAATTTAATTTATTTTCAGTCAATTAAGTATGAAAAATATTTAAAACTAAAATGTTTTGCATAAGAATTTAAAAAGCTACCTAGCTATAATGAAAAACATTTTATATGTTTGCATCATTTGTCGAAAAAATTGTATTGATATAAATAAGTTAATTCAATCTTCAAAAAAGGTGATGAAGTATATACAAACAATACCGCCATTCTAACCACCTAACTACGTGGAAGGGACATCGGTGATATGGTGGACTTCTTCGACCGAAAAAAGTTTTGGTAAGAATAATTTACAAAAATAAATTCTTATGAGTTATTAAATTATAATTTAAAACTTTCTTGCTTTAAATTAACGGGTTTGACCAGCGTGAAGAAAAACTAGCAGGCCCAGCGTTGAATTAAGGCGGGAACATCTGTATGTGTGTATGTATATAGTATTTGTAAAACATCTGTATTTTGTTTATTAAATTTTGTAACTTATTTATAAGTATATTGTATATCAATATATTTTTGACAATGTATGTATATACCAAATGACTTGTTGTGATTTAATAAAAATAAAATTTGAATATCATATTTAAAAATGCATATTTTTAAAATGAAGAAAAAACATTTTAGGATTTAATTTCAACATGCGCATATTCAATTATCAAACGATAGTTTTTAAAAACGATTGAAAATTTGAGTACCAATAACAAAAACATGGATTTTGGAAATTGAATTGAAAATTTTCGTTCTCAAAATTTAAATAAATATTGTAGGTGCAAAACCTGGGTCAAAACGTTTTTAAAAGTAAAACGTTCCATACAAATTTGAAAACGAAAATTTCTCTGTGTAATCTCGGAATACTCTCTTTAGAGATTAGTCGCACAATTTTTTGCAGGGATGTATTAAGAAAGTCTTCAATATATGTAAGTGTGAATTGTTAGAAAATACCTAATGAGAATAAAAAATCTCGATTTTCGATTCAAAGCAAAACTCACTGGGATGACGATATCTGCGAATAATTGTATTAGGCATTTTCAGAGAGTGAGCAGATCATTAAAAACGGGAACTTTTCGAATATATGGACTTCAAAATAAAATTAAATACTTTAATTGTTAATAACATAAAAAGTTACCAGATTTTTCGATATACATAAATGAATGGCGATTTCTTTTCTCGAAATAATGTTGCCCTTTTTCCTTAGCTCTTTCACAGCTTTACGTGCTAATTTCTCAAAATATTGCCCTCCGACTAATTAAAAGTGCAATAGTCTCTACTGATATAGCCACTTTGCAGGACAAAAAGTAACCTAGTGCAAATCTTACAATATAAGGCCCACTTGCAGAAAATCCAAAGCTAAATATATAAATAGAGAGTTAAGTAGATCAGAGTTAAATTTTTACATTCCTAAACCAGAAAATGTCTTGGAGCATAGAGAAAACTGGCCCAGTGTTAAGTAACCCGAGGGATTTCTAAATACATAAGTAGGCATCACTTTCTCTTTTTCTACATTTATTATTTGAATTTAAATATAACATTTTTAAAAATATATATTTTTTTAATTACAGATTTTTGACATTTAAATATAAAAATTAACATATGTAGAGTTAGCAATTTAACCTTCGAAAATTGCTTACATTAAGTAGATCAGATTTAAATTTGTATATTACTAAACCATGTAATGTCTTGTAGTATTGAAAACTGGCCCAGCATTAAGTAACCCGAGGGATTTTTAAATAAGTAGACACCACTCTCTCTTTTTTGACGTTTGTTTACATTTGTTATTTGAATTTAAACACAAAATTTTTAAAAATATTTTTTTAAACTAAAGATTTTTGAAATTTAAATTTTTGTATCCTGTTACAGACAAAATTGACATATGTAGAGTTAGCAAGTTAACCTTTGAAAATTTCTGGGCTAAATATTTAACGATTTAACTCTAATTTTACTGCTAACCATTGATTGGTAAACTTCGAGTTAAATACATAGATAATCTACTGTTCTGCAAAAGGGCGTAAGAAGGCAAAGTTTTTCAATAGAAGAAAACGTCATAACTTTGTAACTAACATCTTTTTTGTATTTAAGTAATGCAAAAATTACATCTGATTTAAAGCTTAGCTACGTATAACGACAGTTTCATTTAGTAAACAGAAATAATTTGTAATGAACTTACCAGTCTCTGTTTTTGTGATTTATTTAATGAATTTACCAGTCGTTTTACTTGTGATATATTAAAAAAAAAAAAACATGTGAATTTTAGTTGAAACATTTAAGCCTATTTTTTGGCCAAATTAGCCGGTCGGCCCAAAAAGTTCTGGCAACACTGGTAGCCAGCGAACGCTGCAGTGGATGGACTCTTTTCGTCTTTTATCGACGTGCTCAATGAAAAGCTGTGAAATGACCGACGCCGCTACACCACACATACATAATTACTCGTACTACCTATGTATATACATACAAAAAATACCTACTACAGAATAAACAATAAGTGAAATATGCACCCGGAGATGAACACAAAAAATTATGCTAATAATTACGGTAGAAGCTGAGGTTTTGATTTGGTTTTTTGCTTGGCTTGGTGTGCCCCTGCTGACTTTGGCGCGGTTAAAACGGTTCACGAAAAAGCTGCGAAATGCTAATCTTGCTCATTATCATCACCATGAACACACCGGCTGCAGCAGCCGCGTCTCCGGTGCCACCAATACCACCATGCAGCGGTGATGTTGCCGCTGCGGCGCGCCGTCGCTGCCGATATGCCAGCACTATTGGTCGCTGTCCATATGATTGAGCCAAAGCGGCAGGAGTTTAGTAGCGTAAAACTACACTGCGGCCTTCTCTGCATTTTTCATTCATAAATTTTTTAGTAGCACCAGCGTTTCGTGGCTTTCGAAGTGACGCGCATAATTATGCAACAAGTCCTTCCTTGCCTTTTACGAGTTCGTATATATGTATTCGTTTGCGCGCTCTCTAGCCCGTTTATTTGCATTATTATCATATTTTTTTAGAGTGTGACGCGTGCGCATTTAGCATAAAATCACTTAGCAGCGCAGTGTAGTGATGGAAAACAGGATTTCTGGCTGGTTATCTGTCTGTCTGCTTCTCTGTAAATTAACATAATCGACGACACATACAAACAAACATAATTGTAAGCATACCCACACACATGGCAACCAAAAAATAAATCTTTGAATAAATAATTTTTGTAGGTCATTGCCAAGTGCCGTGCTGCCAAATTTACATGTGTTTAGCGCCCTCCTTGGCTGCTGCTGAAATCCTTTGATAGCCTTTGGTGGCCACATATTTGGTCTGGAAGAAAAGCAACAAAATTATTTAAATCTTTTTTTTTTTTTTGTGGTTGGTACACTCGTATAAATATGCATTTTGAGTAAGTTAACATTTCTTTTTTTTTTTAATTTTTTTAAATATATCTATGCATTAATTAGAGGACTCTCAGCCTTTTTATTTGGATTCATTGTGTGCTGGGAGCGTGTCAACAATTTTGCATGACAATGAAAGCTAGCACCAGTTCAGATGATTACTTTGGATTTCTGTGCTTAGAAGAATATCAAACGAAATACCCAACGACACGAAATATGTATGTGGAAACTGACCTTATAATTAAAATTAACCATTTCTTAGGAAAAGCAGATGAGCATATATGTTTAATTACCTTCGAGATGGGCACACGTCAGTGGCTAGATATGTAGCTCCGTGTTTTTTTTTTTTCTGGATTAGTGAGTACGTAATTCAATATAGACTTTCATGGAGAAGTAAATGGACTCCTGTTCAGTTTAACCCACTTCCGGACGAAACCAGAAGTCGGTAATACTACGAAAAGACAGAGCAATCCCGATTTAGTAGGTGATATTTTTGCGTTATTCAATAAAAAAAAATTCCCTACATTTTAGAGGGGGTGTACGGGTGCTCTAGGACACCCTCTATATTGTATTGTAAGAGCTAAAGAGTGGCCTAACAGACACACATAGCGCATCAGCTATAAATAGCTGACCTAAGGTTCATCACTTTCTTCGGGCTCACAGAAGAGGCTAAATAAAAACACGTCCAAAATGCAAATGGAAAGGGTGCCTTGCCTTTCACCCCACCAAAGCTCATGAAGATCTCTCGCTTCTTCTTGCGGTAAAAACTAGTCTTGCTGAAATGATGCTGGGCAAAAATCTTACCTACCCTGAAGAAAAGCTAAATTTTGACACTTAAATTCCAGATACTATATCCATGTAGATAGATTATAGAACTCCTCGAAGAATGTAGTATGGATTTTTGGGAAAAGAAATATTCCTATCCCGGGAAACAGCATTGCGAATGGGCTCACAAGGATAGGAACAAATCTCTATTTAGTCAATCAATTCTGCTCAAAATGCCGGCAAGTAAACCATCTTCAAACGAGCCATGGCTTAAAGCTGTTTTCACTGAACAACACAACTACGGGTGGGCTGGTTTTATCAACGGGCACTTTGGTGCTGGATTGCCCAAGAAAAACTTTGAAAAAAAAATTATTTGTAACATATAAATAATTACCAAAATGCATAATGTTTTCCATTGCTGCTGCAAGTTAAATACATAATTATCTTTTCAACAAAACTTTAACTCAACAAAAAATTCGTTACCGTTATTTTGGACATTTTTTCTTGCAGCCTATGTGAGAACATTAAGGATTCACTAATAAAAAAATGCGAATATAGTAAAATTCATTATGTCTAATTTTTATTTCAATAGTAAAAATAAAATTGTAAATTGTAGCAAAATTTTCAACGTTACAGGCTCAAAAGTACCTTTTCTAGATAAACAGAGATTGCGGTAAAAATAATTTGATAAAATACATATCCTTACCTTAATTCACAAAGGCCCTAACCCGCAAATTTTCTCTTTCACAGAAGAAGCAAAAACCTTTATAAAAATTAGTTAAATCAAAAACTGCAGATAGGGGTTTTTAAAAAGTGGCATAACTACACTGTTTTTGATACCAACACGTTAAAATTTTTTAGACACGGTATATTTGTTGTATGTCTTACCAAAATTTATGTTAAACGCAGTTTCGAAAAAACTGTTTGCTAGGGCCTTTGTTAATTAAGATAACGGTATGTATGTAGGTGTGTATGTACATATCGCTATCATAGAGTGAATAGTTGCTAAGTCCATTTTCTCAAATTTTACAGCAGATGTAAATAAACTTCTTATAATCATTTTCTTCAAGTGTTTTGCAAGACTTGTAATACACCATTCTGTATATTTAATGCAAAGCGAAACTCCCTACGAGGAGCGTTCGATAGCGAAAATACGGGCTTTCACAAAAAGTGGACTTAGCAACTTTTCATTCTAAGCTAGCGGTAAGTTAGTTTCTTTGGAGCAAAATTAAATTGGTCTATGAAAAAAAAAAACAAATGTATAAAAACTGAAAAATTTTCCCAAACCCTGAGATTTTAGGGGCAAATTAAATCTGGTAACCCTAAGCGATACAGAGATGATGCACCCACCCTGAACGTGCACACATACCTTTGTGTGGTCTTAAAGTTTAGAATTATGCTCACAAACGGCGGAGCTTTTTGTTTCACATTACGCTTCTCCGATTTGACCTAAAGCAATGCGTATAAAACCTTACGCTTGGAAATTAATAACTTTTTATCCAGATTTCGCGAAATATACGACAAAGCACTCTCACATACATACATGCATACGTAGGTGAAAATATCAATCTTAGATGAAGATCGCAGTAGAAGAAAGCCATCGGCAATAAGAAATCTGTGCAACACAATTGTACGAATAAAGGAAGGGGAGATGGGCATACAAGCTGGTTTGAAAAATGGCTGGAGGAGCTGAAGGAGATAAACAAATTTCTTTCGGGGCATGATAATGATCTCCGTACTGCTCGACCTACACAGGTGTGAAGGAAAACATGGAACAGATATTTTTCTTTTGACCCTGGCAGGAGATATTTGCCCACGCTATACGTATTAAAATGGATTTAAACCAACCTAAGAAGCGGTCAAACGAGGTAGGGGGCGTTTTAGCCGGGGTAAGTGCATACCGCTCTACCGAAATAGCGTTGCTTATGAGGGGTTCTTCTACTTCACGGGCGTCGTCAAAGAAAAAGAAAATGTAAATATTACGTACAGAAATGTGCATACAAACATACATACATTCATACTATGTATATGCACTCCTAAGTATTTATGTAAATATGTATGCATGGTAATTGGCCTAAGGCCAAAAGCAACAAAAATAAATCGTCTGCCGTGATATTGTTTACTATTTAAAAGCTTATAATGTTTTCGTTTCTACAAATATATTGCCTTTTCATTGCCCGGTTCTTAGTGTTTGTGCTCAGAGGACAATGAGAAGGTAACATTTTTCGATAGAAACGTATACGCCATTAAATAATTCGCTCAAATTCTCGTCACATTACTACTTACATATACGAGTATGTACGTATGTATGTATATATGTATATATTTAAAAACTGTATGCAGGTATTTATAATAATTGGATTGGTGTGCCCCTATCCAAATGAAGCCATTTTTATGCTTAACATTCAAACAATTGAAACGGTGCGACGCTGTTTAATGGCCACTTTTCAAATCATTGGAATTTGTTATATGCACATACATACATTAGCGAAGTGAGACGAACTTAGAAAAACGCAAAATAGTAAAAATGGTCGATTATAACAGAACAAACTTCAGCAACTTTAGCATAATGAGTGTCTACGTGCAAACATAGTATTTATGAACATAGATACATATATATGTATCTGTTACCTTTTGTTTTGCAAAAATGTTCAAACAGTTTTGCAATTTTTTAAATTTTTTCTTACATAGAAAAGCTTGCAAATACTCATTTGTTTCTTTTTAATACTTTTTGTCTTTTTTAGTGCCAAAATTTAGATCAGTCGTCTGGGGAAACTGCAAAATCGTGCGAAGTGAAAGCCATAGAAAGCAGCGAACTGGCGAACATTTTCGCACTAACAGTTTATACAAATTCTTAACATCAACTGCACATTTTCGATGAAATTAAGACAAATGCCCTAAAATCAATGTAAATGTCATTGTTTATTTAGTTGAGCCAACCTGCTGGGTGAAGTGACAAGTTTGAAATATGTACCATTGAATGCTGTGCAGGAGCGAACGCAGAAATTTTTTTCGGTGCGAGTGTTTTAAATATTTTTTTTCGATTTAATCAGTCCCACCAAATATGTGTTTTTGGTGGTCCAATATCTATGCCTTTGTATAATTTTTATTTTTTTTTTATAATTTCAATTTCTTAAATATGGGTGTTTCGCAGCGGAAGGTGTATAATTTTTGGTTCTTTTTATAATATAAACTGGCCGTATTGATTTGTTTCTAATCTGGCGTTTTAGTTCAAAGGTAGTAGGATATGGATTTGCAAAAAATGGAACCGCTAGGGGCCCTAATGTCAAAGTAAAAAGTATATTCGAAATAAAATGCATGTGTTCTTCGCGTTAAAAATTCGTTCAAAAACAATACCTTTTCAATGCAAATTTTAGTAACGTAACGTCAGGTAACGTCACATCAGAGAGTTCAACTGATTAAACGAAAAGCAGAAGTGATTTCTACATTCAAAAAACTTGGAATATTAACCTTAAATATTTGATATATTATTACAAAAAATTTAAACAAATAGTCTTGCCCAATTCGCAGAGTTTTGCAATTTTGTAACCCAAGTAAAAATCCAAGTAGCGTATATGTTTATTAATATCTTTAAAGTTTAAACCTCAACTACGAACAGTTGAATTTTTTTTTTGCTGAATAAAACGTTGTTTAATTACTATTTTTTTTCACTCCCACCTCGAAATTTTGTGGGAAATACCTTAAAAAAAAAATCCCTAAAAATATTAATATTAAGTGCTCGGTAAATGCGTGCAAAGATATTTGAAAACACTTAAACTTTGATTTTTTCTTCAAAATGCTACAACTCAGAGCCATTTTAGGATATGGTCTTCGTCAATGATGAATTTTATTCAGAATTGAATGCTCCACAAAAGTGCCCATTGCGGTGTAACCCTAGCTCCCACCAGCGAGGTATTATGGGTCACTAAACCCAATTTTGCATGAAATTCTCGTTTTTTTGCCTCTATCTCTTAAATTACAAGAGCTGCAAAAAAAATTTAAATTACAAACTAATATTGATATTTCTTGAGATATTGGGCTTTGCAGTTGAGGTAGTGTGGAATTTGTATGGATTATTGAGCTAAATTGTGAAATCTTTGCACACCTTAATCGAGCACTTAATAATATAATAACTACTATTAATGGCTCAAATTTTCAGGAAAT